GGAACGACTCTTCAAGATCTTTCCACCAGTCATCATTCCGATATTTGCAACCATCTTCAAAAGAAGTATATATTCCTGGTTGCAAATCGTGGTATTTTATAATGGAATGGAAGGTATCGTTTGCAGCAAATTTTTGAATTATATTAGTTAATGGAATGTATACCATTTCATCTTTTTTACGTTTCATTGGTCGATTTTGCCCAGTGCTAGCACTTCCGCACGGAGAAAAATGGATATTAAGAATCCTACTTTCCAAAGATAATGAAAAATTTATAATATCTATATTTTAACACCTATTATATAAAATGTTTTCTTTCAATATCTAACATGTTGTAAAATAGAATATGTAGATATTGATGCCTATTGATTTATATACTAAGTTTTAGTATCTAGGACAATAAACGTTAAAATCGTGAGAATAACGTATTTCATGCGTCACTTCATGTGTACAGCAGTGTCTGCAAATTCGGCGTTAATTGTGATTTCAGTTCTGAATAAAAGTAAGTAGAATTTAAATTTTCTTCAAATCTAATCTCACATAATATATAGTGCGTACGCCGATCATTTTAACGCAAGGAACGTGAAACTAACCTGTTCCGTGTCTTTTTTAAATCTAATGTTAAAGAAAATGTCATTAAATTGACATATACTTTTCTTTTTAAATAAAAATAAATAAACTTCTATATTTATTTTGGTTTTATTATTTATGAAAATTAAAAAATCATTTTAATACTAAATCTTCCCCAATTAGTCCAAAATTAAAATTTAGTATAATAATATTATGATTAAATTAAAATAAAATTTAAATTTAAAATAAATTTAATTTTAATTATAAATTTAATTTAATTTTTTTTAAATTTTAATTAAATATTAATTAATATTTATATTAATTAATTATTAATTAATATTAAATATTAATTAATTATTAATTAATATTAAATATTAATTTTAATTAATTATTAATTAATATAAAATATTAATTTTAATTAAAATTATTAATTTTAATTAATTATAAATTTAATATAAATTTAAAATAAAATTAAAATAAAATATTATGATTAAATAATAATTATATAATAATATGATTTACGTTAGTAAATAATGCCTTTATTTTTCAAGAGTTAGAAATTTAAAAAACTAATATTCTGTGTAATAAGTTTTAGTATCCTGGACATTACAGATTGATGTAGCCATTTTAATATATTTAGATACTAAATTTAAGTATCCAAGATGCTTGTCCTATAGTTCACTGTCAAATATAATGACCGGGTAATATATAGATATTAAATACCAATATCCATTTTTCTCCGTGCGTATCTTACAAATCGTCTGCCAAGCGTATATCTAGTAGGCATCAAGACATTAAATTCTGTTTCTAGATATGCTTTCCTTTTTTTTTTATTATTTAAATCGAAAATACAATTTGTAGATTGTACTTCATTTTCAACATTGACGTAATTTCTTAAATTTATTCCGTTCGCTTGTAAAGTTTGATAAGTTCTATCTAAAGAATCTCTAATATAAACACTGACAACATCTTGCATCATTTCCAAAGTTTCGGTAATTTGTTGTTCAGAGATGTTAGTGTTTCCACGTAAATGTAACGGAAACCGACCAATGGCACGTTTTCTTTCGTTATTTATTCCCGGAACTGCGTTGACTTCATCTTCATCATCTTCATCTTCCTCTTCATCGTATTCTTCGGTTGAACTTGGTTCATACTCGACATCTTCATAAACTTCTTCATTTTCATTATCCTCGGAGGATATGTTTCCACCATCATTTTCCATTCTTTCATTATCCTCAGAAGATATATTGCCATCATCGTTTTCCATTCTTTCATTTAAATTATCAGGATTGTTAAATATGTTCAAATCTTCTGCAATATTTGGCATTGCGATTTCTTCATTTCTTGCAGGTCGATGTAATCGGGATCTATGCGACCTCAAAGAATTTGCATTTCGAAGAAAAGCTGGGCAGTTATTTATACCGCATCGTCTACCTCGATTGCGCTCAATGTCGTGGACATTTTGGAAATGTTGTTGTAATTCTCTTAACAATGGAAATTGTTGGTGGCAGAAACCGCACAAATAACCCTGAGGTTCCATTTTAGCTATGTATTTTCAATAAAATTCAATTTATTACAAATTTTCTGAAAGAAAACTTAACGGCAAACTTACCAGCTGCACAAATTCCCAAAGAAGCTAAATATAGACAAAAAATAAATAGTAATTATTTCATATTATCAATAATTTTTAAGATTTTAAGATAAATTTTAAGATAAATACAAATTTTACTAGAAAGCATCTTCCAGCTCATATTATTCATATTATTAAAAATAATCCAGAAAGGTAAAAAATATTTAAAAATTATATGAAGAAATATATTTGAAAAAAGTTAAAAATATTATAAGAATTTTATATAATTGCCTAGGATCATATTTAGTGTCCAAACAGCTAAAAAAAAATCCGTAAACGACTCAAGTATTGAATAACAAACCAAACAAATTTACTTAAAAATTTATCGTATGTTAAAAAATTTACACATTAAAGTTTACGAATCAAAAAAAAATCCTTTAACTCAGAATCTTAAAAATATTTGTATTATTACTCACAAATTTAATTTCTTGTAACGCTGGATACTTATCAAGCAATTCCTGCGCCGTAAAATTTTCCGCATCATTTTTTCGATTATCTCTTGTGAGATCGAGAAGCTTCTTTATTTTGACCGTATTGAAATTTTGTTTTTCACATTCTTCTTGCAGCAATTCTACATTATTTACAAATGTTTCATCAGAATGGACATTTTCATTTTCCAAGGTATCATTTTCTTTTTTTGAATTACTAATCTTCTTTTTCCCTTTCTTCGATAACCTATACTTTTTATTACGGTAACTGTTCAGGAGACGTTTCAGCATTCTCCTCTGAAAATAATTTATTAAAAATTAAATGCATATGAAAATATAGCTAAAATTATTAATTATTTATATGATAATAGGCAGTTTACTATGGTAAGCTATCTTTAACATTATAAAAGATTGAAGATTGTTTTAACACTTCAACATTTATTTTGTACAAAAACTGCGGAAGAGTTTTGAAATTAAATTTTAGATAATTTTATACTTTTAGAAGTTTACATATTAAACAGCATAAAATTAGACTACAGAAACTTTAAATAATACAATGATGTTCACATGACTTACATGACGAACTCCATTTCCTCGCAGACCGGGAAATCGATTAGTTGAAATGATAGACGCTTGCAACATATCGGCGGATGAGGTTCTCTTTGCTTCGATTAATTTTCTAAGAACCACCCGAACAATTGCGCAAAAGTCTCCTTTTCCCAATTCTTTATTTTCGTAAAGTTTGGTCATAATGTCATTATGGAAGTCATCACTGAAGTTGTATGGAATTATTTCCTCAATAGTTTTCTACAAACAATAATTAATTATGCAAGATATTTTATAAAACATCATTATTATTAAACTATATGAATCAATATGTTTAAAAATTTTTATAAGTAACTTCATGTTATTCATTCACGATTTTTTTTAATATAAACAAAGATTGGTAATTTTTTTTTTAATTTTATAACTTTCTTAATGAATATTCTTATATAAAAGCTAAAGATAAATTACACAGGCAAGCAAAAAAAATTTTTTTTTTACTTAGACATTACTATATTTTTAATCTGAATCTGAAGTCAGAATTGCTAAATTAGCTCAAACTTTTAAAATAAACTCAAAAAATCTCCAAAAACACAATTTTTTGAATTTATTTTTGAAGGTTAATCCAATCTGGTAATTCTGATTTAAAATAGGATTCAGGGGGGGGGGGAATTGATAGGAAAACACTAATGTAGTGTCTTGGTTTAACAAAATTTTCTTTGTGCCTGAATTATTATATTAAAAACTTCTATAAATAAATAGATAGTGAATCTTTTTACCATTTTTATTTGATATTCTTGTGGAAGATTTGAATACTCATTCGCATTCTCCGAAAAATATATAAAACTATTAATATTTCATCTTGACGATAAAAGAATATAACAAATTTTACATTATACCATTTTCACTCGTTTCTGAAGAAATAGCATTTGTGTCATGTTCATCTGTAGCGTTATCGTCTTGCTCCGACTCAGACTGATTTTCATGATTTTCTCCGACTTGTAATATTTCCAAATTGCCTGCATTTTCAGCATTTGTTGTGACTATTGAAACCTCCAAATCTTCAGCAAATGGGTTCTCTGCCCCTTTGTTAATTTATGCACAAACACCACATATTTATTACGTTTTAATTTTTTTATACAATAATAACTAATACTTTTATAATTTATTTGTTAATAAAAAGTGGTTTTTTTAAACAAATAAATTGATATTTTTATAATCATGCAAAATTTTCATAATTATCATATTACAGATCATAGTGGGGAATGTTAGTAAATTGTATATACGTCCAATACCGTAGAAATAGAACATCCGAAATGCAACAACTATTGTGCTGAGTCTACATTGGGCACGTTTGTACGCGAACGTGTACGTTCCGTACTGACGTCATAATGTTCTGCAAATGGGTGACGTCTGCACGGAACGTACACTCGTTGGCTAGATATGCCTACAATTTTTTGTCCTTTTCTAACACACATGTTGCCATGACAACATATGCATTAGAAAAGGACAAAAAAGTGTAGGAATATCTAGCCAATGAGTGTACACGTTTGAGCAGACAATGTAGAGTCAGTGTTAAGGCCAACGCACAATAGGTTCGCGAAAGTCCTTCGCGAACGAGATGCATGAGATAGAAAAGGATACAAATATATCTCTGTCCTTTTCTAACTCATGTTTCACGTTCGCAAACGTCTTTCGCGAACCTATTCTGCTTAGGCCTTTACTGATTACGGTACTTTTTCATAGGACAACCATTGCCGAAGCAACGCATGCGCAATTATATTATGTATTTGTGTCCTTCTCTATCTGTCAGTAACTGACAACTGTTACAAATTTGTATTGTTTTCGGTAAGATGCTGGGGAAAGCAATAAACAAATAAAGTACAATAAATGGTAAAAATACACTTTGTTTGAAAAGAAATAATCTTTGCTTTAAAATTATTTGACGAGGAATGATATATTTGATACATTGATAAATCTTACATTTCAAAAATTTTGATACTTATTCATATACGTACATAATAACCTAAAAAAAGTGGTGATCTCTTAGTTGATGTGTTACATTGTATTGACAAAAAATAACACGCTCAGTAATGGTTATTAATGTTTGGCCAAAATATATAAATGATTAAAATTAAAATTACACTATTTGGTTCCAAATAAAATTCAAATCAGTAAGTGTACATGAAAATTATGTTAAAGTTAGAGTCCAAGTCACTTTCATTTTAATTAATCTTTTTGTACATACAGTTAATATAAAGATTCACTTTTTCAACTGAAAAAAAATCGAAATTTTTTTAATGGATAAAAAATGTTAAACATGGATTACAAAAAAGTTAAACGAGGAAAATGTTCTTGTGGAAAATGCGATGGATTCCTAGCTTTTACTTCAATTAAATGTTCCTCTTGCGGGTGTATTACCGCAAAACACGCGAAATTAGGTAATTTTTCTGATAACATTAATTATTTTGCATGTTATTTTTCTTTCTAATGATAAATTGAGCGATAATTTGTATAGATGCAGACAACTCGGATATTCAACAGTTGCAAATTTCGGAAGTTATAGAAAATGATAAAAATGAGACTAATGTTTTGCACAATAGCGGTTCAGCTGAGGAGATGAATGTTGATAATTATTTAGAAATAACAGTGGATGGTAACGCGGAACATTAATAATTTACTATTACAAAATACAAAAAATTAAAAACATTGTATATTTCAGAGGCTCCTGGTGCAAATATTAATGTATTTCTTTCACAAGAAGTACAAAAAAAATGGTAAATCATTTTTTTGTCTAAATAAATCAATACTTTATATATTGAGATAATACAATATAATATATACTTTTTTTTAACTTTGTCCAACATTTTAAGATAAATTTTTAATTGTAATTATAAATATAACTATTGAAATAAGATTATATGTAAAATTTTACTTATTTGCAATATTCTATATAGGCAACAATGGAAGAAATAATTCCGGATAATTTCAATGACGAATTTGATGAAAACATCATAGCCGGGCTTTTAGGGACAAAAGAATTGTTGCGGAAAGATTTTTGCACAGTTAGTCGATTAATTGCTAATAATTTAATAGAGTCAGAAAGAATTTCTTCTTCTGATGTTTCGCAAGCTTCAATAATTTCAACCGGTAGATTTCAAGGGTTACAGGGAGAAAATCAACCACGTCATGTAAAATAATTTATATTTTGAATTATAAAAATGATTTCCTTTTAGTCAGTAAATAATAAAAGTAATTTATTGAAAAAAATATAATAAAATTAATTTACAGAATGTGATTAAGAACTTATAAAGAATTTTTGATATTTGACTACATTCTTCTTTACGAAAGTAAAGCTGAGGTTATTTAAGATGGCTTCCAAAAAGTTAAATATGGAAAAAAGTTGATATTCATTTAAAAAATTTCCTTTCTTTAAATTAAAAAAAAAATTTTAAATCCGTTAATATTTACACAAATTCTTCGTAATTTTAAAATCTTATGTCAGTAATTATTTTCAATACTTTCATTCATTTTATAACATATTATTAAATGATTTTCATTATTTCTTTCAGAGAAGATTAGAAATTCGTCTTAATAAGTATGTAAAAATTAAAGACCCTACGACAACTTCGGAGGCAGGTGCTAAGACAGACAATGATTCTTTAAAAAAGTTTAATAAAACACTTGAAAAACATTTAAAATTATTGCAACTGGAATCAGAAAAAGAGAACTTAGATACAAACGCAGTAAAAAAACTTCTCGACATCACAAGAGATGATAGAAAAAATTATACAAAAACTTGTTCGGCGGGTGAATTATTGCAAAGATATCCAGTGTTGCAAAAAAATCAAATTGTAAGTGTTATACCTATGTATATTTTATGTTCACATTCGGTATCATTTAAAAGTCTATATCATTCATTTTCAGTTCCTTTGGGAATTTGGACAACTAATAAATTTGTCCCCAGACATAATGAAAAAGAATTTACTATATGCAATACCCAAATTACTTACATTATATCCACTAAGTGAGAAAGAAACAAACAGCAATATTTTTTTTCTGAAACAACTTAATTTCTTATTTTCATCAGGACGAAAACGTGCTAAACGACCGAAACGTCAATTGGTCGAAATAAGAAAACTGGTATGTAATCCTTGTTTTGCAGGCTCAAAAGAGTAATTAAATTTATCATTTTACAATTGTTTTTCTTTCTTCTTAGGATGACAAAAACGCATCGAAGGCGCTGAAAAAAAAACGAGCTCCATTTTTCAGATTCTCTGACGATAATGCTGAAAAAGTCATGTGTTATGTTGATGGGGAGCAATTTTTTGTTGAAGAACCCATTGATAGTATCATAATTCTCCTAGCAACTTATTGGGTGTTCTACATCGATTTTGATAAAGGCTTTAAAGACCAACTTATATTGTTATGTTTCATTACTTTTGGAACACGTCTTGCCGAACGTATTTTGAGAGCATTCGATATTCAATCTTCAACTGTCGATGACATATTGTTGAGAGCCAAATTATTATAGAAATTCGCAAAGCTGAAATCTTACAAGTTCAATTTTTTTACAAAAAATTTTTTTTTAAACAAAATTAAATTTTTTAATCTTTATCAAGGTTTATTGTATAAAATATTTAATAAAAATTGGTGTTATATTATTAAGATAAACATTCTGCAATGCATATTGCAAGAGTTTTAATTTATATTATCATATACAGAATTACATGTAAAAACATGAGCTAAAAGTTTTGAACGTTCAAATAAACGAAATATTTTTTTTAATCCATAAATTATTAAAAATTATGAGGTCAATGTAAAATTAAACAGTAAATTAAACAATTATTAAATTAAATAACTTCTTTTTAGATATTTAAAAAAATATTTTATAATAAAATTCTTACTTAAAGAACTTTTAGGTCATATAAAAACCCCGAACACCTAAAACCGGGCAGAGTTTTTTTTTTGGGTCCAGCTCAAACTTGTCAAATGCATGAGATAATCAATAATAATTGCAGTGATGAAACAGTTATAACATAAGTAATAAAATATATTTATGTAAAATATAAACAATTATATTAGAAATGTTAACAACAACTTCGTGAAGACATAATACAAAACAAGTATTCCTAACTTGACTGTCATATTTGGTTGGTCATTATGATAAATATAAAACAGTTCAAGCGCTCTGAATTAAATATTTACATTAAAAATTACTGAAAAATTAAATTTCTTAGACCTATAGAAAAATTTTAAAACACTTGGAATTAATTTGAAGTGACAATATTTCTTAACCTCACACTAAAATATATCAGTTTTTAACAAAATTGACACAGCCCAAACACTCTGAAACAGAAATTATATTAAAATACAAAAAAAACAATTACTTGTAACATTACAAAAAAAAACAATGTTTATTTTGAAAAAATATTTTGTATTAACATAAATTGAGCAATAAAAAAGATGACAAAAATATTATGACAGATAATAAAAAAAATAAAATAGTTAAAATATCTTTAAACTTATCTGTTTAATTATTTACTCTTCACTTAATTATTTGAATAAAAACAATTGTCACATTTATTTACAGGCAGATATTTACGGCAATTGTAAACAGGCATTTTAAAAACATGGTGCGTTCACAATAAACCCATACACACTTGGTCCGTTTCCGAATTAAAGTTTTTAGTGCACACTTGTACATAGATTGGTGCGCCACCCCGAATCCAATGGTTGTTTGCGGTAAATGTGAGAAACTCTTTGTCTCACTATTTGAAATACTAATCACATATAGGAGTGACTCTGGGAACTATATTCTTTCAAAAAAAGTAAACATGATTGTAGGTTATGTATATAAGCTGTCACTATTTAATTATCAAATTGCATATTGTCATTGATTTTCTTTTTTTTCATATTCAAATTAAATACTGAAATGGTCTCCGCGATTGGACTATTACCAAAATATTTGAAAAAAATTCGTTCAATTTTGAGTCGATTCAATTCGGCCATGATTGATATAAATTGATTAAATTTTTTGCATCAAAAAATGAGACCGTTTCGTGTATCATTTCTAAAAATGATACACAAAACGATCTCTTTTTGATATAACTTAGGTGCATCAAAACGTTGCAATAGAAAAAGAGACAACCAAGTTTACTGTGAATTTCTGGCAAATTAATTTTCGGTTAATAAAAATTTTGTCAAATTTATTTTCGATCATTTGCATTTTGTAGAACATTAATACTCGAACAAATGAGTATTCTGCAAAATTAATATTCTACTGAATAAGATTCTATGAAATCGTAATTCTAAAAAATTTGTTTTAGAGCTTATTCATGCGTCCCAAATAAATTGTACTTATAAATATTTATATGCGGTATTATTAAAAGAAGAGGTTATACACGGAGAAAAATGGAAAAACGAATAAAGTAACTTTTACTATACTTTAAAAGTAAAACCTGAACTTTTCGCAGTTTCTGCGCATTTCTGGAAATGTTTACTCTAAAAATAGTAAAATTTACTTCTAAAATATAGTAAAAATTATTCCGGAAATAGTAAATTTTACTATTTCTGGAGTAAAAATTGCTAAAAATCCAGATGTATTGAAAATAAAAGTTTTTGTCAGTCAGTCGACGACTGAGCTTTGTGCAATACAATATTATACTTTAAGTGACAGCTAGGACTGGAGGCGATTTTCGTAAGGATACTAAAAGTAAAGTGTGTTTATTTTTTAATTTTTTGATTAATTAAGACCTATTTAAATCATTAATAAACAAATGAGGTAATTGCGTACTAGTATTTTATTAACCATATTAGAAATATTTTATTAAAAATTATATGAACGGAATTAGGTTCAAAACATTTTATACATACATTCATTATTCCGTGCTATATACGCCGTATTTAAGTTTAAGTAAAAAGGAAAAAGAGTTTGTTCACAATTCTTTAATTTTAAACTTATTAATTATCATTTCTAGAGTCAATTTTTAAAAGTATCGTATTTTATAAGAATTATTAGATATTGTCACGAAAATAATTCAAGCAAAAAGTGAAAAAATATCAATTAAAAATTAAGCAAATGAGTGGGACAAACTGGCGCTGGCTTGATAGAGACGATATCCTCATCTACGATGCTCAAGATGTTTTAAAAAAACTGAATCCTCTAGTATTATTTGATGACCGTGAAGTATATATGTTTAATGATTTATAATAAGTTTTTAAAACAAGTTAATAACCAAAGCGAGTTACCAAAAAAGAAAAATAATGACTGAATATTACAAAAATTATCATTTGAATAAACAATATTTTATTTGACATCGGTGTAAAAAATTCCCTTTTAAACATAACCTTAAACTAATTTTAAGATTATGTTATTAATTCTAATAAGAATAATTATTATCAAACAGATTGATATTTCATATATAAGTATGTGTGAAAACCTGGAATATGCCGCAATTATGGACAAGTTGGAACGGAATTAGTTACATGGCAATATTTTTAAAACGGAATTACATACAATTGAAAGGATTAAAAAGTTGTTAAAAAATAATATAAATTTAGTTTTTGAACAGATATAAAAAATGAAAAATTGAAAATGATTGATTAATTTTTACAATACAATTGTTTTCTTAAACTTTAAGTTACTTGATAAAATAAGAAAAATAGAATTCTCAGGAAGGGCCTTAACATGCCGTAATTGTGGACATTTACCAAATTTTGTTTTGTCTCAAATCTGTATTGTTGTACTAAAAATATATTACTATAATAAATTTTTAGTTGTTGCAACAAAATTTTGTATTGTAATACCAAGGAATAGTTAATATTACTAAGGAATTACTACAAAAATACAGATTTGTTGTAGGGTCCAAACAAAATTTGTTAGTTTCATGTTTAGTAAGTACGACAATTCATTTTCCTCCCTCTACTTCTTTTTTTTCTTTTGTGAATGTTATCACATTTATTAGGTATAAAAATTAATGGAAAAAAGTGATGGGTAGCTTGATTTTCAGTGCAGGTAGAAAATAAGGTACTTGTACTTTTTTTCATTGGCGTTTCGCGCGACGCGTCTTAGTTCACCTCGGAAGACTGAACTTTTAGCGCTCGTAAACGGCGCTACACCGACGGGGGTTTCAGGGTTTTACGACTCATTTGCATCCGCCTTTAAAGGCTGAGTCCCACAATTAAACCCGTCGAGCGCAGCTGTACCTTCTCCTTCATGTATATACACGTCTTTCTCGCTCGTATATTCAATATCCAAGATATGAGCTCCCTGGAGATCGATCGTGCCAGGATATCTCTCACAGAGAAGGAGGATGTCTGTTCGTAAAAGCTTGGTTTGCAGGAGTAAAAGGGCTCTCCAAAACGGAAGTAGCCGTTAAACTTGGTTTCCGTTTCATAAACTCAAGCGTATCGCGCCGGCTAACTCCATTTCACCCCTCGTAAGACACCACATTTTTCACTTGAAAATTCACTCTTCCTTTTTCTCTCTGATAAATATGTGTTTAGAATTCTATTATTGATTCTTGAAAAGAGGTGCATGATTTTTTTCTCAAATTTTAGAAAGTCGACATTCCAAATGATCGAAATTTATTAAGTCGACATACTAAATGATCGATATTTAAAATGCTCGATGCTGCCGATGGTCGATAATCTAAATGTTCGAAATTTTAAACAGTAGAAACTCCAATTGGTAGACATTTTGTTTCAACGACACTCCAAAATGTCGACATTTTAAATGATCGAAAATTCAAATGGTAGAAACTTTAAGTGGTAGAAATTTCGACTATTTGTATTTTTGATCATTTAAAATGTCGACTTTTTGGAGTGTCGTTCAAATATAATGTCGACCATTTGGAGTTTCTGAAAATTTCGAACATTTAGAGTATCGACTATCTGCAGCTTCGAGCATTTTAAATGTCGACTTAATAAATTTCGATCATTTGGAATGTCGACTTTTCAGAATTTTTTTGGGGAAAAATCATGCACCTCTCCTCGAAGAAATAGAAATTGAAGTATGAGAATTTGATAAATTTTTTTTTGATAAGGTTTGTTACGTTTTTATTGCATTTCTGCTTTCGAAGGTTTGAACTTATTTCATCGTTGAACGGCATTTCGATGTGGAAAATAATTTTCTATCGTTCACTCGACAGTCGTCGCGCAGGAAGCAAGTTCGACATTTCCTGTTACGGTGAACTTGCCCCGTGCCCCCAAAGAATGGAAAGGAAAGTCCGCCAAATATAAGGCAAAAATGGCCGTCGAAATTGGATTTCTGAAAGTGCTCGCTGGTATAGTCGGAGCTCCACCTGATTACCCGTTTCGCTGATGGATTCTTAGACTAACCTCGCACTTCCATCCTCTTCCTTCTCGTTTTCTCTCTGCTTTGGGTTGCCTTTAGCAACCCTCTTTTCTAGCTCGGGCAACTTCGTGTTGCACCCCTTTTCCTATATTCCCTCTCTCGCTCTTTCTCTCCTTACAGTTCACTCCAAACTAAACTCTCAACTCTCTTTCGTCGCCCACCGATCGGATTTTATAGCCATTTTGTATAAACGCTTTCGTTTACTCCGGCAGCAGGTATAAAAAGGGGTAGTAGCTTCAAGAAACTGGAACCACTGAAACTTGATACCCTCCATCATGCCTGAGGCATCTTCGATCAAGAAGGCACAAACAAAAAAGATGAATTCTTGATATATATATATATATATCCTCCTCCTTATTCTCTTCTTCTTCTTCTTAAACTACTTATCTTCACTTTGCTCACTGAAATATCAATTTACAGGTCTCTAATTTCATTCTTCAGCTTAGTTTTTCCTTATTTCAAACTGGTTATATTTCAAATATATACAATATACCTACTTATTTTCTTAAAATTATATATCTAATTAAAATTTATAATTCTAATTTATAATACATTCAATTGAATCATGAATTTCGAAAAGGGCTCAACTCGAAAAAGCGTAAGTGTCATTTTCGCATAACGATTCAATAATTGAATTTTATTTAATTCGAATTTAAAAACAACAAAAATTTCAATTCACATAATTTTAATTTGTTCAAATTTTTAATTGATATAATTTTTAAGACGCTGAATCTTTATTTGTCCGAAATTATAAATAGCCGAAGAAACAATTGACAGGAATTTTCAATTTTGACCAATTAAAAATTATCAAGAAAATTGCGATTGGTCAATTTTAAAAATTGCGCCAAAATCATTTTATCCATTGTTTGTTTGGCCATATATGTAAATTTTAACAAATAAAAATTCGGCGTCTTAAAAATTTTATCAATTGAAAATTTGTATTTAAATAAAAATTCTGAAAAATTAAAATTCAGTGAATTGAAATTTCTATCATTTAAAAATTCGAATAACATAAAATTAATTCTATTATTTTCGACAATTTTTCTAAATTATGAGGAATATTTTCCGTTTTATATAGAAAAATTATTATTCCTTCTTTTTTGGATATATTTCCTATTAATATTGGAGAAAAGTCAATCATTTTCGGAAATTTTTCCCATAGGTAAAGAATAATTTTGTGGAAAAACTATTTTTCCTGCTTGTTTTGGAAATTTTTCCTACTAAACAGTCGGAAAACCTGTTTTTCTCTTCATTTCGGAAAAATTTCCTATTGTTTGAACGAAAAAAATTTCTAAATTTTTTACAGTGATATAAAAAAAAATTCTGCCAAACAAAAAATTCGGTAGTAAATAATTTTGTTAGGTGAAAATTTGTATAAAAAGAAATTCGGTCAAATGTTAATTTGAAAACTGAAAATTCGTGTAAAAAAATTATTATTTTTAATACAATTCTTTAAAATGAAAATCATTAGTTAGAATTTTCATTTTAAAAAATTTAATTAGAAATAATTATTGTTTAGACTAATTTTTATTCTTCGAATTAACATTTGACAGAATTTCATTTTAAATCAATTTTTACTTAACAGAAATTGTTTCATTTGTAAATTTCGTTTCCTGCCATACTGTTACAGAATTCCAGATATTTCATTTTACATACATAAAGAATACGACATTTGTCGATTTTTTTAATTTTCTTTCGCTATGAAGAATGGTTATAACAAAAAAAAAAAGTTTTTCAATATATCGCTTCTCAATATGTCAGTGAACTAAATAGTATTATTATTGAGTTTTTACAAATTGATTTTTCATGCTTCTTCTATACCCCGATGAATTGTTTTTTAGTTTAATTTTTGTTCTCTTTCTAACATGTGCCTGAACATTCAAATGAAATAATTTTTTTGGTCTTTATTTTTTTTAAATTACTACTTACAATGGAAATTAAGAAAATACGAAAATTATTTTTCTATTTTTTGTTTTTAAAAAAGTAGTTTTTTGTTTATTTCAACGTTCAAAACTTAACTTATAAAAATTAACTACCAAAAAATTATGATTGGAAATCTATTTTTCTTTTATTATTTATTTTCAATTTTTAGAATTTTTCTTTTTTTATTTACACAAGTATTTTTGAAATATTAATGATGAATACAAAATTTAATAGCATTTGTTTATTATCAATTGCATATATTATACAATTTGAAAAAAATTGATACTTTTGTGTTTGACTTACGACAAAATATTTTTTCTTCGACAAATTATAATTATATATGAGATAGTGATATTTTTGATCATCAATTTTCCTCAGTGTGTATATTATATCAATTTCATCGAATTTTTTTTTTATATTTGCAGTCTATTGTTACTATATGGCTAATGTATAAAAATCTACAGATACAGTAAATATTTACAAATAATTGAAAAAGACGCAAAAAATACATTCTTTTGTTTTTACAAGAAAAAATTTTTTTCAACACACTACAGTAATTCAGAACAATTATTTATTTAGATGAACAATCACTCTTTCAAGTAAGAAAATTAATTTTTAGATCTATAAGGAGCAGACCTACTGAATATTTGAAAAAAAAAAAATTAAATTTGCTATATGGCTTTAAATTCTCTCTTTTTTCGGGGGGGAAATTTTTATTTATTCACATTATTTCTTTATCTTTCAGAAAATATAAAATCTTAGTCTTTCTATATCTACTTTTATAAAAAGGACTCTTTATCTGTTAGAAAGGGAATCAGAAATAAGTTAAACCGTTAGGTAGTAATTTATGCAAATGCATTTGACTGATCGAGTTGCAGCGTGGGAAAGAAATATTTGAAAAGCAAACATTGAGAAATAATAAGATTACTCACAATAGGAATAAATTGCAGTTATTACAAGACGCACAAATATATATACTTATTAAAAACTATAGACGACATTTTTGTCCCTTTTTTTTCAATCGTAACACTATTCTTTATTTTCTTAAAAACACACTTTCATTTGTAAATTAAAATCTAAGAATTAAAAATTCAGATTTCTAACATTTATGAAAACAATTTGTATTTTTTTTGTTCTCATTTTCACATTGAGACATTATCATTACATGACAAAAGTTTAATAAATGCGGGTATATATAAATCCTAAGAAAAAATTATTTTTCGATATTTTTATATAAAGAAAAGTTTTATAGTTTTTATACAATTTTTCTTATAATTACTTATATTATTACTAACGGATTTTATACACTCACATACAACTTAAAATAGTTCGATGTTTCTTAATACAACATATGACTTTATATATATATATAGCAAAAGAGAGAAGTCTACACTGAAAAAAATTATTTTTTTAAATAATCGGTTACTTGATTATCAAATAAATATTTACTTGAATTAAATAATTTTTGAAACCAAATAATTGAATTAAATAAACTGTAAACGATTTAATTGACTTCAATGAAAATTATTTAATGCAAATAAATATATGGCTCTCCACGAGAGAAGGGACCTTAGAAACAAAAAAAATTGTAGGTTATGTTTAGTGGTAGTTTTATCTTGATTAAACGTTCATTTTTAATTATGTAAAATTAGTTTTTATTTATTATTATAGATCTAATGAAGACATAAACATTGGTAGTTTGTATTAAGAGTTGATCCTCTTTGACCTCCCTGAAGTTGGCTTCGACGCTAAGCGCCGAAAATTGTTTTTCGCAGAATCAAAAATATCAAAACATTTTTTAAAAAAGTTTCGGGTCTACACAATGCCTTGAGAAGTATTGTTCAAGGTATTATTTGGATTGAAAAATTAAAAAAAAAAATAATTTGAAATTTTTGATTCTGCGAAAAACAATTTTCGGCTCTGAGCGTCGAAGCCAACTTCAAGAATGTCTTCTTTGTGTAGATTCTTCTCTTTCTAAAAATCACAAACATAACCTAAAATTTTTTTTGCGTCTAAAGTACCTTTTCTCGTGGAGCGTCACATATTTATTCAAATAACCGATTATTACAAATAAATTTTTTTTTTCAGTGTAAATATTGAAAAAAAATACCTCCATAAAGTTAACTTCGATACTCAGCGCCGAATATTGTATTTCACAGGACAAAAAATAACAGATTATTTTTTTTTAAAGTTTTTTAATCCAAATAATACCTTGAGAAATACTTCTCTATTATGGGGATCCAAAACCCTTTCTAAAAAATTATTCAATATTTTTGGTTTCCTGGAAAAATAATTTTCGACGCTGAGCGTTGACGCCAAATGGAGGTAAAATAATCACACAAATGGCATTAAACGTTTACAGAAAAAAAGCTTAATTCTCATTTCACACACGTATGCAATTAATCACCACACTGACCTTTTAATTTATAAAAAGAAACTAGCGATTAATTTTCTTTTTTTATCATCTATATTATGATTATTTCGTTATAATACTAGGAAATTGAAGTAATATGTCGATGGCTGTTATTTTCGTTTAACGAAAATATTTTCTAAAAGTTCCTTTGTAATAACACGATGAGGTCTTGTTGGACTTTCTGTGGTCCTCTGATAAAGTCTACTGTTAATTGCATAGAGTTTTGGACTAAGTGCACATCTCACGTTGAACCACCAATCGCAGACAAACACTGCTTGACTAAATTGTGTTCCATTTGGACAAAGAAATGTTGCTTGTCGACCATCAATGTCACAATAGTGCCATGCTTGACATCTTGTTTCAACATCGGCAAAAAATCCCGGATAAGGCTGATCATCACAGTAGAAATTTGTATAGGGCACCTTTCCCAAAACTGGATAGTCAGTTCCAGGTCGACCTAAAAAAAGAGAAAAATTTAATAGACATTCATTTATCAATCAACTTCTCTAAATCTTGAATTTTTTAGGTTATGTTTGTATTTTAGCTCTGAGTTTTGACCGAGTTTTAAGGTTATGTTTACTGATTTTAACATCTTGATATCAGATCATTTCTTTTGTAACAAAAATTTTTACTTAACAAACATTTCTAGATATCGAATTCGAAATTCGATTTCTCTTTATCAAAATTATTATTTAAAAAATTATAATTTCATCGAATATTAATTTAGTAGAATTCTCATTCAACAAAATTCAATTCACTAAATCTTAATTTATCCGAATTTTTATTTGCCTAAATTGTTATTTTATAGAATTTTTAAAATGCTGAATTTTCATTTGTCCAAATTTGCAAATATCCGACCAGAAAATTTCGGCGCGAATTTTAAAATTAACCAATAAAAAATTATTTAAAAAATTGTGATTGATAAATTTGAAAAATCGTGGCGAAATTATTTCTGCCGATTGTTTGTTTCGTCATTTAGAATTTCGGACAAATTCGTCCTTTTAAGAATTCTATCAAATAACAATTCGTACACTGAGAAAACTGGAGGTTCAGATTAAACCTCTGGAGGGATTAAGAATTCATATTTGAGAGTTGGCTATGGAACAACACTCTAAGTAATCGAATACACCATTCAGGGAAAGTCGTGTTATCCCTCCTGGAGGGATAATAAGTTTATGATTGAGGAACAAATGATAAATCTTGAGGAATCCCTTCCTTATCTTGCGCGGAATAAATAAATATGGCAACCTAACCTTAAAATTTAATACATTAAATTAAATGTCACCATATATCTTAGCGCGATCTTTGTGCGCAGAAGCTAATTCAAATTTTCTGCGCAGCTTTTATCCCTCTGTGCGTGAACGGACAGAATATGAAAGCAGATTTCTTTTATTAATTCAAAAATACATTTCGAAGGACTATTAAACTCTCTTGATAAGACAGTTGAACATACATTTTTTGAACCTCTGAATTTAACACTCCAGTTTTCTCAGTGTACAAATGAAAATTCGGTGAATTGGAAATTCTGATATTTAAAAATTCAAATTTAAAATTCAGTTGATTGAGAAATATGCAAAATTAAAATTCGATTAAATTATAATTTTTTTAAATAAAAAGTTGGTAAAAAGAAATTATGTAAAATAAAAATTCAGTGTCAATGTTTAGGGTCAAAATACTAACAAACTTGAAAATATAACCTCAAAATTAGGTGATAAGTAAGGTTTAAGAGGCAAACATAACCTCATAATTTAAGGTAAAATATTAAGGATATAGGTCAAGAGGACACTGATGTTTCTGGAGTTAAAATCAGCTAACATAACCTCAAAATTACATACAAAAAAATGCTAGTGTATTTTTATTACTTCGAACGCTGGAAAAAACTATAACTTGCTGACAGGTTTTTTACTGCGTGGTCACTTTTTTCCAACGTCCGATATAGTAAAATTACACTGGCATTTTTTTGTATGTAATTTTGAGGTTATGTTAGCTGTTTTTAACCCTAGAAACATCAGTGTTTTCTTGACCCATATTCTTAATATTTGACCTTAAATTATGAGGTTATGTTTGCCTCTTGACCCTTACTTATCACCTAATTTTGAGGTTATGTTTTCGGGTTTGTTAGTATTGTGGCCCTTAAAATTCACAGGTCATAAGTCAAGAGAACGCTGGGTGTGAGCTTAAAATTGGCTAACATAACCTCAAAATAAGGTGTAATATTATATAAATATAATACTAATATTATAATACTAACGAACCAAGATTTTAATCTCAAACCCAGCGGCCTTTTGACCTAGAAATTAACCTAATTTTGAGGTTATGTTAGCCGATTTTAAGTTTAAATTCACCGGCTCCTACACCAAGAAATTGACCTACAAACATGGAGTAGTATAAGGAGACCGAACGACGTACATTGAAAGTGGACCAAATTTTGGTAACCGCTTAGTGTTATTAAAATACGTAACGGAACACAAGCGCCCTCGTAGGAAGTATGTAAACAGTGGGGAAAATTAGAAGTACGTTGAACATAACCCAAAAATACATTGCTCCTTATTTTGGACTGTCCAGCTGAGTTCAGTGGCGCTAGTGTTCCATTACGTATTTTCATGACACTAAGCGGTTACCAAAATTTGGTCCACTTTTAACGTAGATTTAACATAGTCGTTCGGTCTCCTTATACTACTCCATGCCTACAAACAAAAAATGCCAGTGTATTTTTACTACGGCGGACAAAAAGCCAGTGCGTTTAAAGTTAAAATCGGCTAACATAACCTCAAAATTAGATCAATTTCTAGGATAAAAGGCCGCTAGGTTTGAGATTAAAATTTTGTTTTGTTAGTATTTTAATATCGTTATATTTATATTATATTATACTTAATTTTGAGGTTATGTTAATCAATTTTAAGCTCAAACCCAGCGTGGCGAGATTTTTTTGTAATATAGATAAATATTTATGGAAATTGGTTTATTATTATTTTTTTGGGGGTATTGTTTCCACAAAGTTCAAATTTCTTCGTTTATTTTCTTATCGATAACCGTTATATATTGGTTTTTCAATCGATTATATATTTTTCTTTTCATAGATTCGTTTTAGATGTTCTTCTCATCATCTAAGTAAAGCCCGGCGGCTAACTGTTCGTATCGACGTTCGTCGCCTGCCAAATGCACAAGGTCTTTTCTATGTACAAATGTATTTATGTATATGTGTGTATGTGTATAGAACTATCCAGCTTAGATGAGGCATTAGAGCTAAAGTTCTAGCGGAACTTTGAATTAGCGATCGCGTTATCTTGGATGCGAGAATACCTTGCGTAAGTCTACAGGTAATTACATGTCTCACCTTGCAAAGGGTTAATCAACCTCGATGTTTGCCGAACTGTTCTCCGTACAGACACATGTCGAACTCTCTCACTCTCTCTCTATATATACATATATATATATATATATATATATATATATATATATATATTTACACGAACGCTAAGTAAGTGCGAGAGCTAGTGCGAAACAAACAGTTCATGACTCAGTGTCGATAATTTAATTGAACTTGATTGAACATTGTACCCTTTTACCTCTATAAATTATTACTTTAAACTATAAAGTTTAAGTTTCCAACGTGTTTATACATTAAAGAAGCATGATTCATATCGAGATAATGCGAAAGAAGAAAAAATGTTTAAAAAAAAGGCACATATTAATTTTCTAACTAGAATTTTTATTTACAAACATTTTATATTAGATAGAAATTTTATTTTTCAAAATTTTTCTTTGATAGAATTTATTTATGAATTTTTACTCAGCAAAATTTTTTATAGATTTTGTGGTAAAATTTAATTTTCCGAGAGATTAAAGGCAGTAGATGTATTCTGCATCTGCGCAAAAGCTGTAAACAAACATTCTGCGCAGACGCAGAATATATCTATAAGGTTATTCAAGTTGGGTGGGGGAAAGCCAAGATGGATGATGGCTGGTGCACCTATCAGCCTATCAGCATTCATTCCCACGAGAAATTTCTCGTGGGAATGAATGCTGATAGGCTGATAGGTGCACCAGCCATCATCCATCTTGGCTTTCCCCCACCCAACTTGAATAACCTTATAGATATATTCTGCGTCTGCGCAGAATGTTTGTTTACAGCTTTTGCGCAGATGCAGAATACATCTACTGCCTTTAACCTCTTGGAAAATTAAATTTTACCACACGCTGAAAAATACCTGTTAACATGTTAAGTGATTCCAATTTTAAATGCAACAATTTTCAATTCACTGAATCTTCATTTGAATGAATTTTTTTTTTATACAAATTTTTATTTGTCCGAATGTTTATTTGTACAAATTTTTATTTGCATGAATTTTAATTTAACCGAAATTGCAAATGTCCTAACCAATATAACATACAAAAGTATTTTGGCGCAATTTTTAAAATTCGACCAATCATAATTTTCTTGATACTTTTCTGATTGATGGGGCAGACCACTTTTCGCCGCCAACTCATCCCCGTGTACCTGCTCAGCGGCAAATTTTCGTCCCCGTATGTTCCCCACTACCGGCCGTACTGTACCCCTCCGTTCAGTTCATTTTGGGTAACAATTGAATTTTATTTGATTTTAAAATGAAAATTTTAATAAAATACATTTTTTTAGTATAAAATGTAGATCTTCTTCAGATCTTCTTCAATTCAATTTTTTAACAAATTTTAAACTAAAATAATTCTTCATTAAATTAATTATTTTTAATAATTTTAATGAAATTCATCACAAATTCAATTATTTCAAAATTATTTTTCAAATAAAATTTTTATAAAATTTAACAATTGTTTATAATTTTAAAAAAATATCGCAATAAAATTGAATTATTTTCAAAAATTCCAATTCAAAATAAACTAAAATTAAATTATTACCCAAAATTTCAATTCAAAATCAAAGAAAATTCAATTATTTTCAAAAATTTTCAATTTAAAATCAAATAAAATTCAATTGTTACCCAAAATGAACTGAACGGAGGGGTACAGTACGGCCGGTAGTGGGGAACATACGGGGACGAAAATTTGCCGCTGAGCAGGTACACGGGGATGAGTTGGCGGCGAATCGTGAATCGCCCATTTCATTGAAATCTGTTATTTTCATAAAAAGAAAACTCTCTTGGAATAAAAAATTCCAAATATGAAATCCTAATTTTTCTTTTTATCTGAATCATGTGTGAAACTTTTGTAAAAATTTAATGAAAAAAAAAAATTTTCAAGGGATTATACTTATATGTAGATATCTTTTTACGTGGAACGAATTTTTTTATTTAATTTCATATAAATTTAATATATAAATAGATTTTATTTCCCCTATCTCTTTTTTATATATACTTGTCAAGATAAATTATAAAAGTTGTGTATATTTAACACTTTTTTTTTCCTTTTATAATAATAAAAAAAAGCAAGTAAAATTTGTGAAAATTTTTAATTTAAAAA